TCTCTCTCTCTCTCTCTCTCTCTCTCTCTCTCTCTCTCTCTCTCGCTCGCTCGCTCGCTCGCTCGCTTTTACAGTCTTGTTGTGTGGTGGACTGATTCTTTGAGTGTAAATCCTCGGGGGGTAGCCCGAATCCCAATGTAAACAGCTAATTTCCCCTCCATTAGAAGGTGGTCATCTCCATTTTCTCGAGCCCATATTTTCTAGCCCGTAGAAAAAGCGAGCAAGAGTAGCCAAGGTCCGTGTTCGTAGAATTTAAAAGGATAGACTAAGGTTTTCGTGGGAGATTTGCAGTCCCATGTCCTCCTCACCCCCCCTTTTCTGCTACTTTGCTCTCCTTCATTTCTAATCCCTCTTGGAGGGATGGGTGTCCTAAGAGTGGGAGGAAGATCGGAAAGGGGTAGGAGAGAGTCACCTAGGCTTTCATATCTTTAGACGTGGAAGGTCCTTAGCTGTGGGGGCTACTATTTAATGGGATACAATCTAACCAGGATTCATGAGTTAATTATTATTTATTAATAGCAATTATTAGTAGGGTTCTTTGGGCTTGCAGCTCAGCATACTGGAGTGTATATACAGTCTCCCTAAACTCAGCTTTTGTCTGGTCCTACTTCCCTCTCCTATACTAAACCTCTGGTTCTAAAGTTGGCACGTTGGTGCCATGAAACAGAAGTCTTGATTTAATGTCACGGGATGCACTCCCCTCAGCCCATTACAGAAACACATATAACAGCGATGTATCACATAAAATATTTTTGCTTGATGGACTGATCTGATTAATAATTGAAGAGCTCACTACTGTCCTTGCATCTTCAAATCCCTGGCGGTTCAATAACACCTTTCTAATATACATTAGTGTGGGAGCCCAGAGAGTATCAAGGGAAGGAAGACGGAATGCGCACATGAGAGATAACCAAAGCAGCCAGGACCTCTCAAAACAAGAAGTCTCCGCATTTATTTTTATTCCAGTCGTTCCACTGTGTGGTTATGTCACTTTCTCAAACAAATGTGTATATGGAGGCAGATCGATGCTGATAATGTTTAGAAGATTAAAAGGGCATTAATGCTGGCAACAATAACATAAACGTGTGGACCCAGATTTCATTGATCTGGAACTTGATCCGGCTAGTTTCCAGTAAACCTGATGGCACTCTCTTCCCAGCATCGAGTTCACCGTCACCCTGTCTCTCTCTCTCTCTCTTCTCTCTCTCTCTCTCTCTCTCTCTCTCTCTCTCTCTCTCTCTCTCTCTCTCTCTCTCTCTCTCTCTCTCTCTCTCTCTCCCTTTCCTTGTATATCTTTTCTTCCCTCCCTCCTAACCCCCTTTTTCTTCCTGCCTCTTTCCTAACTCTTCTCCTTTTCTCTCCTTTGCCCCCCCCTTCTCTTCCCCTAACTTATGAACATTCTTTAAAACATATCGAAACCTTTCCTCCCTCAACACTTTGGAAAGTTTGGTTGGGAAATAGAACATCGATAGGGTCTATTGGGCCCATTTCACCTTTCTATTATTCTACGGGGCTAGTTCAGTTTACCGGTGACTATAAATTTTCCAAAAAAGAATATAGGCAACAGAGACAAACGTTGGAGTCTTTGCATAGTTAGTATTTTTAACCAGCTGGGCTGCATCATGGGGTGGGAGGGAGCTCGAATTCCACAACTGCATTTAAATAGTCCGATCTGTGAGGCTTGTAGCTCCCCTCACTAGAAGACATAGAAAAAAGTGGCCCTCTCCTATAAAGAACAGGATTGGAACAGTTTTCCTTCCGTAATATCAAGTCCCCCAAAACTACAGAAGAGATTGAAAAGCCCCAAAGGCTTCCAAGAGCACCTTGAATTTTAAAAAGTAGCAACCAGTTGAATGCAGCCTAAGCTAAAAGACTTGAGGTCTAAAATGAGATTACTAAAGCAGATTCGAAACTGAGACCCAGGAGAAGCCTGAAAATGCTCAGAGGGACTCCAAGTTATCCTGTTGTTTTAGGAAGCTATCTTGTGTACGTGCCAGCTACTGTCTTCACCACCCCCTCCTCCACACACCCCCAGAGCTCCCCTAACATACTCAGCACACGGACTTCCTCACCATATTTTTCTTCAAGTAATAGATATCCCATTGGACTTCCAAAATGGGTGTGCCTTACCTTTTGAAGAGGTCTTATTTTCATTTCAATTAGTTACAACCTAAGTGACTTCTGGAAGGGCCTCCCATTGAAACTGGCTTATAAGCAGACCAGAGCAGGTACTTGATCCTTTCAATAGGGTATAACTAAAATCCCTGGAATAATTGGGGCAATAATTTTAAACCTGTGTACAATTTATTTCCACTTTCTTCATGAAGATGAGGTTGGCACAACATGGAACTGAAGTGATTTCCAGAATCTCAGACTAATCAAACATAGCCAGACCTGTGTTGCTCTCCCCCACTTATCCCCTTCTGGTTTGGGTAGTGGGGTTTGTTTTGTCCTGCCATGCCTGAGTCTGAAGCACTGAAATCTAAAGGCTAAATTAAATTTGAGCGGGACAAAATTTGAGTGATT